TCAGCTATGCAGAGCAGAAGGGGCACATGACATAAAAGCCTGGAGGTGGGAAGAGTCTTGTGTGACCGAGGGATTAAAAGGAGCCAAGGGACTTTCACCCAAGGGGGGAGGGCGGACAGGAGATGCGGATCCTTCTAGGTCATTGCAAGAAGCCACCGACTGACTTTCAACCATGGGAGTGACGTTGATCAGATTTAAACTTTTAAAGTTTAAATTTGTCTTTTCTGTGGAGAAAATTTTGAAAGAAACCAAGAGTTTAAGCAGGAAGATCAGTTAGCAGACAATTTCAGAAATCCATGCCAGACACAATGATATCCTGAACTAGAGTGTTTGCAGTAGACTTAGAAAGAAGACAGAACAGGCAAAATAACAGATATATTTTAAGAACAGAAATTAAATAAACTGCTTATAATTTGGGTGTGACATGTGATGGAGAAAATCTAGGTTTCTAGCTTGCATATATAACACAATGGTGGCACTATTCATTTACACAGAAAAGATTGCTATAAACAGGTTGAGAACAGTGGTGGTAGAGAAATCAGGACTGACACATGGTAATTTAGCAATTCACATAAGTCTACAGATAGACAAAAAAGAAATTCAGCTGAAAATACAAATACTGGAGTCATAAGAAAAGAAATGACATCTAGAAAAATGGCAAGAGAATAAGTGGGATCATCTAGACAAAGAATTTAGAACACTAAGAGAAGTGGACCCAGTACTGAGCCCTGGAGAATTTAGCAATTAAAGGCTACATTAAAGGCAGGAGAAACAATAAGCAAGAAAACAAATGAAAATGAAATTGAGAAAAAATGGTTAAAGGGAATGGGAAAAGGAGGAAAGCCAAAAGTGTGCCATCATAGTGTATCCTGACATCTTGGCACCAAAACCAAGGAAGAAAAGGGTTTTAAGAAGGGAATGGGAGGTAAACTGTGCTGAATGCTGAGAGGCTGAGTAGGATGAAGGCAAAGAAGTTGCTGGCCGTGACAAGAAGAGTTTAAAAGGCATCTCAAAATTAACACGTGCAAAACTGTACTTGAACTCTTCCCCTTGAAGGTCCTGTTTGCTCCTCTTGAGGAAAACTTCCTTTCCATTTCTTCAGCGCAAAATCCTGGTGTCACCCCCGACTCCTCTCTTCGTTTCAGTTCCTACCTCAACCTACCAGCAAATTCTGTTGGCTTGACTTCAAAATATATCCAAAATCTGACATGTCTCACCACTCCTCGCGCTATCAGACCAGTACATCTCTCACCCAGATTATTACAATAGCCTCTTAACTCATCTCCCGTCTCACAGGCTCCAGACACACTAGCCTCCTGGCTCCTGTCTTACTGGCTTCTGCACTCACAGCTCCTTCTGCCTGGAATGTCCTCCTCCATATATCAAACAGCTCACTCTCTCAACTCTCTGATTTTGGCTTATCTTCCCAGAGAGAAATCCCCTACCCCTATTTTAAATAATCTCCTCCATCCCTCTCCTCTGCTTTATATTTTCTTAGCACTTGTAACCATTTGACTTATTATACATTTTACTTATTTGTTTAAGGACTGTATCTCCCCTATCCTGCCAATCTTTGAGGTTCATGTTTATTTCCTCGGTACTTAAAACCATGCCCGGCATTCAAGAAATACTTGTTGACTTGACAAAGGAGTGGTGAGAACAGTAAACTACAATGAACTAGGAGAGAATGGGATGTGAGGAAGTACGATCAGTATGTGTTAAAAGGCTGCTGAGAAGGGGAGCAGAAAAATGTTACAGTAACTAGAAAGTATAAGGGATTAAAGAAGAAAATTTTTTTTAATAGGCTATATGACCTTAGTAACTTAATGGCAATTTATACTGATACTATATCCTATATTAAAGTAGCTTATAATACTGTTTGAGAGCTAATATGCATCTTTGATAATGAGAGCTAATATGCATCTTTGATAGTCAATCTAAAGATCAAACAATTAATTAATGAGAGTAGACAAAATATGAGAAAATTGTCTTGTATGTGCCATTGATTAGAAAATGAACAGCCCTGCCTGCAAGGAACTGAGAATCCAGTAATTGTCATCTAAAGTGATGATGATGATTCATTTAGAAATGATTTCACAATATTGCAGTCATGTATGCTAAAACTTTATTTTTGCTTCTCTGAACTGGAATGTTACCTGCTTGCAGGTGTGTAAATTTAAATCCTACCCCCAAGCTAAACGGAAGCTTAGAGAAGTTAAATAATTTGCTCAAGGTCACATCACTAATAAATGACAATGCTGGTATTTAAATCCGGGTATCTCTGGGAATAGTCTATGTTAAACATGTGTTAAAATTCTTACCGGAATACACATATTATGTGTATTCTTTCTATACAAATTAGGAAAGACACTTTTCTCATTTGGTCCTTCATAATCAAATCCTAAAATAAATGTTGGAAGGGATATGGAAAATATTCCATACATCAGTCAAAAGCCTGGGAATTAGCATGAGTGAATGTCTGAGTAGAGACAAAGCAAATAAATAGATGAGTGGAAACAATGCCACACTCACTTGAATGAGTATTAGACTACCCAACGAATTAATGCCAAGGTTCAGGACTAGGAACCTAAGGTCTTTGGACTGTTTTCTCTGCTAAGCTTGCACCCAAGCCGTAATAGGCAGAATTCTAAAATGACCCCCAAGACCCCACCCAATGGTGAACACGCCCTGCATAATTCTCTGCCTTTGATTATGTATGGGACCTGTGAATAAAATGGGATATCTTCGTTAAATGAGAAAAGTGATGGGATAGTCACAATTTTATAATTATCAGACTAATGGGATATTTTCCCTCTGGCTTTAAGGAAGTAAGCTGCCACACTGTGAGAGGTCTGCCAAGTGGCTTACAACCTGAAGGTGGCCTCTAAGTGCTAACAGGGACCCCCACCAACAGTCAGCAAGAAAAAGGAGACCTCAGTCCCAAATGGCAAAAATACTGAATTCTGCTGACAATCCTAATGAGTGCAGAAGACGGCCTGGCAACACTCTGAACAGAGAGGGCCCAGCAAACCAATGCCTGACTCCTGAGCAATAGAAATCATGAGATAACAAAAGGCTATTGTGTTAAGCTGCTAAATTGTGGCAATTTGTTACATAGTAATAGAAAACTAAAAAACAAGGCAGTATTCATCCCTTGCACAGACATTGTCAGAGGAGACTTAACATGGTTTATGACCTCGCATTACCCCAAGGGTAATAATGGAAACAGTTTTTAATTCTGAATTGTCCTAATCGTGCTCTTTCAAACATCCATGCCTTTCACTTGCCATTTCCAGATGAATTCCTATTCAAACTTCAAAACCCAGGTGAAATGTTGCTTCTTCAAAGAAGCATTTCCTTACAGCCAATCCCAGCCACTCCCAAGCAGAATTAATTACTCCTATTCTTTGTTTCCATGGCAGTAGCTTGTCTGTACATCTACCCAAACACTTGCCATGATGCATTGTGATAACCTGTCCTTCTCTCACCCCAAGAGGGTGAATCTTTAGGGCAGAGCTGCCCTAGTCTCCTGCACAGTATCTGGCATATGGTGGGTACTAAATAGTTGGCTATCCAGTGAAGAAAATGAGGCTCGGGATAAACACAGGCTTTTGATGCCAGAAAACTGCTGTTTCTTTTCCACACAGATGATCAGGCCTCAGGTATTAATGGAAACTCAGAAAGCCTTCTCCATGACAACAGCCAGGTGACTAACCAAGCACTTACTGCATTAAAAGGGCAGATATTTACTGTCTCCAAAGCGCTGGTCTGAAATGGATAGGTGTGCTTGATGCAACAAGTGGCAGGTCCCAGGAAGGATTTAAATTCTCCTCAGAAGGGGCGTGTGAAGCCTGTCTGATTTATTCTGATTCAAGCCCTATGCTAGGTTAGAATGCTTGCTGATTCAAATAATCTGTGTTAATCCATTCCTGAAATCAAATGTCAGCCTAAATAGACAATAACCCCACAGAGTTAATTTTACACAATGGCTTCAAACTGTGGGTAACAAGCTAGAAATAAGGATCACATATCAATAATATCCATGGCATTTACAGGACCCCAAGGTAGAAAGCATTTTTAGGAAATTAAAAACTCAGGCAAAATTAGGCATCGTCATTCCATAGGGAGTAGCATTTGACAAAACCCAGAGAAAGAATTCACACCTTTCCATAGGACCCACTCCTGTGGGCAAATACTTGACACACTCTCTGCAGTTAACCTGAAATAACCATGCTATTGCTTTAGGGCTCCACCTGAGTGGAGAAAGAGATCAGAGAGGATACAAAGCAAGGCATGAAAATAAGGCACTTGGCCATAAAGTGCTGGTCACCAGCCCATAAGAGTTAGAGTTAGATTCTCTTTATACAAAAATCATTAAACAACAAAGTGCCGCTTTTTAATAAAAGTATTACAACCACATTATCAGAAAGTTAGAAAAAAATCTGGGAAGATTTACATTTACATTTATTATATTTTAAAATATATATATTTTAAGTATCTAACATAAACTCTTAATGCTAGTACCTCTTTTGGCTCCTTTTGGGCTTATATGATGTCATCCCTAAGAATCAAATAAGATCCTTTAGGTCCTACATTTTTGAGAATCTTTTACAAGTATTGGGTGGTAGTGACTCAAAGAGGCAGCCAGCTGGAGGATACAATTTCCTGAAGATCAGTGTGGGAGAAGACATGAGTCCTGGGTTCTAATCTTTCCTTAGGGATAATGCTAGATCTTCCTTCGTTGATTCAATAAATATTAACGTACCAGACTTTGGGCTAGGTGCTAGGGCTACCACTGTGAATTAGATGGATAAGGTCCCTGCTCTGACAGGACTTGTATTTGCATGTGGATATATGTGTATATACATACATATGTATGTATATATGTATACTGCATAGGTAAAAAGAGAGAACAGAGAGAGGAAGTAGAGTTTCTTCAATATGTATTAATTATTTTAAATGCCAATAGAACCTTCAAAGTGGCAGAACACAGTAAATACCTTCGATGCTCTGTGGGCCCACGAGATTCATGGCCTGGTGAGCTGGATACTCTACCCGCGGCCTGGCAATGCCCAGCTGCTCCATAACGCCATGGAGCAGCCTCTGGATATCTGTTTCGGAGACCCGGTCAGGGGTCCTCGGGCTATAAGCAGATGTTGGAGTCCATCCAAACGTCAACCAAAACACTAAGCCAGATAGCATGGTGGAGACCATCCTGGAAACCATTTTTAACCTGCAGAAATAAGACTAAATTATACTGAATGGCCACAATGGGCAATTGTGATGATGTAATCATGCAAAGAACTAAGTCAAAGACTATCTACAAAGGCATCACAATGAAAACTTCTAGGGGTCTGCTTTTGCCTTAAGTGTCCACCCAATCTAGGACATCTGCTGTGAAGAGGTGTAAAAAATAAAACAGTTCAAGACAGCCAGTTCCCTCTGTACTTGAATTCTTGGGAAGACTAGACCGAAACGGCTGTTCTCAATCATTTTTCATCCTCTTTGTAGCTTTCTGAAAGTTCTGCATTACCCCTAATCCCATCACTCTCTTCCTTTTATATTAAAACAAACAACCACCAAAAAAATCTTACTTCAATTTTGAGAAAGGGAGAGGGGCGTCTTGAATTTTAGGCTCACAGGAAGGAGTTAGAAAAACACAAACAGCAAAGAATCACAAAAAAAGTTAGGAGTGGTGGAAGGGAATACTTTAGCTTAGCGCACATCTAACACATTTCAGATCCTGTGGGAGTGAAAGCACACACAGCTCAGGCCCGTCCTGCAATCTGGAAGGGAAAATGAGGTATGCTTGCTCCACCCACCACATACTAGTTCAGTGGTCTTAGGCAAATGCCTCTGCCTCCTCCTCTGCAAAAACGGGATGAGAAAAACATCTATCTTACAGGGTTGTTGTGAAGAGGTGTGAGAAAACAGGTAAGGATTAGAACCATGCCAGACATAGAGCCTCCTACATAGCTATTAATATGTTGGCAATATTGCCTCGCGGTTCTGGGGGTTAGTCTTTGGGGAGGCGGAGTCATGAGAGGAAAGACAGGTGAAGGAGAAAACTAGCCTGGGGAGTTAACCTGTCCTAAACGTTAGCTAGCTTCTGTAAGACAAGAAGCCTGCAGAACAGGGAAATAAATATTCATGCAGCTATGCAGCTTCCCTCTGCAGCTGCTGACCCAACTTCTGGCAGTGGCCATACAACCCTTTTCTTTTGATCATACATCTACGCATTTTCCTCCCTGATAAATATTCA